TGGCTTCGGCTTGGAATGGAAGACCCAGAGTCTCCATTGAACAACCCAGAGGGGTTTTGGGGACCGGTGGCCCGCAGTTGCGGAGGATGTCTCCGCTCCCCGGCGAGGCAGGATGCCAGGATGCCAGGATGCCACCACCCCCCCTCTCACGGTCTTGGTTCGGAAAGCAACCCAGCCCCATATGCCATATGGCTGTGGGCTCAAAACCAATGGGATCCCATTTTGGGGTAGGTGCACCGCCTATTTTAGAACCCATTTTAGTGGTGATTGGGATGTTCACTGGAGGTACGGAATTTGGATTTTGACCCATGGCCATATCCCCAGTGGATCCCAGGCAAACCAAAAAAAGTAGGCAACCCTGCGCTATTGTTTGTTTTGTTTTGTTTCTTTATCTTGGGTGTTTCCCTTGGTTACCTCCAGGTAAATGGATCCACTGGGTTCCATTCGCCTCGACGGCTCCCAGCCATTGGATTGTGGTGCGTCCAAGTGGTAGCTTCAACAACTGGTGTCCGTCATTTCCCAGTGGGTTGCTTCCTGTTTTCGACTTTCCTTTGGGAAGGGTTCCCCTTTGAAGTCCAATATATCGGGAAAGAACGTTCTCTAAAAACAAGAGTTGTGAAGTAAGAATCCCAATTAACAATGTTCTTCAACGTGGAAATCCCCATTCTAAGCTGAGATGCAAAAAAAAACAGCCAACCCAAAAAGGATGGCTTTTTTTTCCCATGGCCACAGGGCATCTGAGGTTTGAGGAACCCATGCGGGAAGCCAACATGTGAGGGCTAGGTTTGTGCATGACTTGGGACAGGAAGATTCTGATCCATGGTAGATGCTTAAATATGCCTCACCATCCCAGATGTCCAGTGGTGCCCGTTGTCCTATTTGAAGAGTGGTTTCCCTCTCTAAAGGCAACGACCTCAAAACTAGAGGCCATCTTCTGGCCATGGCCATCGGTTTTGCAGGTCAATGGGCATTGGATTTGGGCAGTCTCATTGGATCTGCAGCAATACTGTCGGTCATTTGTTTGGGCGTGTCTTTTTTAGGGAATCCCCGAAAATGGGTGGCGTCCCTTTAATCCAGCCCCAAAAAGGGTAGCTACAAAACAAGACAGACCCATTTGGGTAAGGCTTGCAGTTCGGAACGGATCACCCACCTAGGCAATACCAGAAATCTAGATGGTGCCCCCTTTGGTTTGCCATTTAACCAGCCCTAACAAGGGTCGCTACCAAAAGAATCACGATTTGAAGGGCCCGTCCCTGGATAGCCCCAGATCGTCCTCAGGCGGCCTCCGCGCGAAATTACGCGCGCACCTCTTTCGCGTTGCGAAAGCTGACCGCTCGCGAAGAGCAGCGGAGTTGGAGAAACGAGCGCTTTTTTTTTGGTCGCCGGGTGGGGACGTGGCTCCATGGAATCCCCCCAGCATTGTCAAAACACACAGTACGCTCATCCGGGAAAATTGACCTTGAGGATTGACCATGGTTGCCACATCTTATAGGCACACATGAGGAACGGAGAGTTGCACCGTGTAGTCAAAACACCCGGTGAAAAGATGGTCATCCGGGAGAATTGACCATGCATCAACCATGGGATTGACCCTAGTTGCCACATATGCTTATTTTTTTTGTCAGGGACACAGGACAAACTGGGCGAGTTTGCTTGGAGTTGGTACCCTATGAGTCTGGCCCAGTTAGTTGGGTTCCCAGAAGACTCGTCACTGGGTGCTTGAGCCGGCTCGGCTTGCGCGAAGTCGACTCGACAAGTGTGGCCCCCTCAGGATTCCCACTAGCAGCACATAGTTCGGACACATTTTGTCCAGAGGTTTGTATCTTCTCCGACTGCACTTGCCCATTTTCCCAGTGGTTTGTATGCCCCTGTCTTTTTTGCCACCATGCTGTTCAACGCCTATGTTGCCTCGGAGTGTGCCTGGGACTTTCGTCAGAAGTGCGGTTGGGTTGACTTCACACAGCTATGGGTTGGCTTCACGCGCTGGCTGACTTATTTGGGCTAACCCCAACGCTTGAACGTTCAAAGAGTGCGCCATTTCCCGCTTAAGTGGTGTATCTTTTAGTTGGACGTCAACGAACGAAGCTAATCCATCGCCAAGAGATTCACATTTCTTGCCAGGGGAAGGCATGGCTGAACCATGTGACCCTTCCACGCATCAGTGAGGCTGGTATGGGGAAGCCAGCCGACCTGTCCAAACCCAACCTCAACGCGGCTCGCAACTTTGAGAGTTTTTACGTGGAGGGAGTCAGGACATTTCCCACCAAAGTTTAATTTGGAGGCATCGGCCTAAGTGTTTTTTTGTTTTACAGGGTCTTCATTTAAAAAGGCTCTCGACCTGTTCCACTATGGGACCAGCAAGTTCCCGCGCAGCACTTCAATCCGAAATGCCCGCAGCGAAGAGGTCCCGGGGTCCATGAAGCTATGTGTGGGATCTGCTTTTTGAATGTTAATATTGGTTGTGCCGAGGTGCGCGGCCAACAAATCTGTCGCAATGCCAACCCTGGACCTGGACATGCGCGGTGAATTAATCATGTTCTGCCCCTCTGATTTTTCGCCCAGCCACACCCAGGATTGGACTCAACCCAAGTAGCATCGGAAAGCCGCGGCCATTAAATTCGCCGTACGCTCTTTCCTCAATCGGACTCGGGCAGATCCGGGCAAATCGCTAGGTACACCAACAGCTGCGACGTCTGGGCTTGTGGCATCATCATGCGCCCAAGCCGCATGCCGAGATGCAAAAATAATAATTGCATGGTATGTCTCCCTCTTTTTTAGACCAACGAAAAGGGCCCCTGACTTGTTCTATTTGGGTGAGAGGGCAATTCGCAAAATTGTGTTCTTCCTTTTGGCTTCCCTTTACAGCCACAAGTCCACGAGACAGTACCCTCCTACAGCAGAGGCGCCCACTTCAATCGAACGAGTCCCCGCGTCAATGGTGCGGGACATCGACGGATTCCCCCGCCCCCTCCCAAAAAGAAGAAAGAAAGAGGGGAGCCATTCTGACCCCTCACAAACGCAACTAGGGGGGTAACCGGGCAACCGCCTAGGAATTTCTATCATTGCACTTTCCTGGAACCTGGAAGTTGAAAAGGCCAATTCCTTTATTCACGTTTTAACACGCCGCCCAAACAAGAAGGTCAATACAGATTCGGGCGCTTCCTTCTTTTCTTTGCCCTGTTCATCCAGGCCGGACTTGCACGCGAATCGGATGTGGCGTACCTGTTGAATGGCTGGTCAAGGCCTCCTCCCAATATCGGCCTTAGGCCATCGGGGGATCTTTCCCTCTATGCCTGAGGGTCAGGGGTCCAGAGGTTCTCAGGATAAATGTATCAAGGAACCAGTAGAGTCGAGCCGGTGCAGCCGGTGGGCAGAAGTTTCAATTTTTAGGAACACTAGTCTTTCTTGTGTGTTGTTTCTCTTCTTGCCGTGTGCCATCGTTCATGGCTTCCTTTCTTTGTATGTTCATGTGTTCTGTTCTTTCCTTCTTTCATTCCATCTTTCTTTGTCTCTTCGTTTCTGACCTTGCTTTTCTATCTATAGCTATCTACCGTGTGTTTATAACTATCAGGGGGATGAAGCTGCTGAAAGCTATTTATTTACTGTTATGAGAATATAGATGTCAATCAGGGGACACGCTTTCTCTGAACCAATCTGGGAATCTGTCTGTTTGGTTGGGTGTTGAGATGTGATTTTGATGAAATCGTTATTTGCCATGTTGCTTTCAAAGGGCAGTTGTCATTCAACGATGTGGGCAAGCAACAGGTGACTGAACCTCCACGCAGGTTCGATTTTGCCGTTTGTCCCAGCTTTATCTCAGATAGGTGGCACGCCCCCTACCCAGCCAGTTGGGTGTCCGAGAGAGGGCTGGAAGCTGGAGCTCCGAGCTCGAGGTACAACTTGATGAGCGGCACCGTGCCCTTTGCATCCGAAGAGGAGGCGAGCGCCTTATTTTATTTTTTTCTCGCTCGCTCGAGTCGAGTCGAGTCGGCGCGCGCGGCAAGAGTCGCGCTTTTCGAAGTTCTGGCGGCGTTTGGGCCTAGGGAAAGTGGTCGGACCCAACTCTCGAGATGTGTGATTTGTCGTCTCTTCGAGGGTACCTTTTGGGTTGCTTCGAAGGGGAATGCCACGAAGACGACCACCACAAACCACAATCCCCATGTGTTTTGGTATCAGGGCCAAAAAAGGGGGGGGGGTTCCCACATTTGTGAAACCAGGGAACCTCCATTGTGGGTCAGCCATGTGGAGTGTTCAATATAACGGGTGGACATATGCATCTGCATGTCGAGAATGCCTACAAACGGCTCCTGGGCATGAAAAATTGAAGCTGATGTCCGAGCATATGAATGAGTCTTCTTTTTGGGAATCGACAGTCTTAGCTTGCGTCGAAGGGACACCAATAGGACAACCACCAGTTTGGGTTCCCTAACTTCCATTTGCTCAAGGAATTTTCCCCTGTTGTTTTTTTTGAAGAAAGGGAACCTATACCACTGGAAATATGTGTGTTTGTTTTTTCATGGAACTTAAGCAAAGGGAGTCAAACCCATGTTTGATTTACCCGGGGTGCCTGGGGCCGCATCTCGACCAACTTCCGTGGAGCAACCCCGTTTAGATCTTCAGGGGTCTGCTTTCTCATTTCTGCTTGGTTACCCACAAATGGTGTGGAAATAAGTTGCCCAATTATTCTTCCAGATTGGCCAATGAATAAGTCACCCAGAAATGGTGGGAAGCTAGGTGTTTTTTCTAGGTGTTTTTTTCTAGGGATTCCCTTTTGCAACAGACTCCTCTCGGTTTCCCTCAACAAAAAAGGGGGTTCCCTTTAACTCGGTTGTTGTTGGGAAGCATTTTACTTTTTTGCTTATTGTGGTTTGGTGGGAAATCCCCACTTAACTGCTAAAGTTTGAATTTTGGCTCCCCTTCCAACGTCAACCAAGTTAAAGGAGTCCTCAACCAAGCCGCGAACACTTGCAGTCGACTTGGGGCCTTTCAAGCCCTCGCCGAGATCAAGTCTGGACGCATCGCGTTCTCCAGCAGATGGTGCGATGCGTCGCAGGAGATCACGGGAGCGGGCGGGAGGTGGGGGGGGTCAAAATGAAACCACCAGGGAACCACAGATTTCCATTCACCAGGGTATTTCAATGGGTACCTATTCTTGACCCACAGCTAGGTTTCCGCAGGTGGGATATACCTGTCCCAGTCGTAACACCTGGATTCCGGTCCCCCCTAAGGAGGGATGGCACTACCTGGACCCTCAAACTAGCCTTAAAAACGGGTCATTGCCCCAAAAAATGATGGGGTGAAATGCCTGCTTCAAGGGTAGTCTGAGGGTCTAGGTAGGTCCCCCAACAGCAGCTATTGCAGCGCTCCCGAAGCTCGTTTCAAGCACCTTTTCTGCCAGCTTGCTGAGTTTCCTCTTGGGTCTCCGTGCTTCACGCGACATATTTGGAGCGCTGTGCCTCAGACGCATGAGGCAATGGGTTTGGTTCCAGGGTCAGTCGTGAGGTTCAACTCAGATGGAACAGCGTCCCCTGTTCGTTGAAGTTCGGAAACGGCGAACCTGTGGGGGTTGGTCGATATTCCTGGCCCCCAAATGACCATGGGTCACTTTTCCCATTTAGTGACAACATATATCCTTTTTCTCACTTCCTGAGTTCATGAACTTTAAGCTTTTGGGGAAGACCATTTTGGTGGTAAATACAAGGTTTGGACTTTTTTTGGGCCATCCACTCGGCCAGTGAGTTTTACTGGTTCTCCCGAATGGTCATCCCATGTTTCTCGGACCTTTGATCGACCCCCATGTTGAACAGCCCTAAAAACACGTGGCATCCCTGTTCCACTAGGATTCGGTGGGTTTGTAGCGTGCAAGGGAATTGATTGCGTTTGTGAAGAAGGTTAGCTTCAACAAGGCCACCCAGCTAGGTGCTAACTTTTACCCTTTCTTTTTTTTTCGGGGGAGGGTTCCGATTCCTACTAAAGAAGACTGCAGGAAAAACAAACGGCTACCCGTATTCTAACCTCTCTACTGGAGGTTAGTCTTGTAGGTGGCCATTCGTTTCCATGGCCAGAGGGTCTCTTACCTTGTAAGGATGTACTAGGTCCAAAAAGGGTACAACGTACATCCTCACAAGGCACCGGGGATTTTGCTATGGCGGGCGGCCCAATGGAGGGGGGGTTAACTCACCTCACCTTACGACCGAGCTATACGTGTCCATTGCTCAGCGTTCGGACCAACACCCAAGCATAGAACGTTGGTTTCCACGGGTGCGTTGGTTTTCCTTCCAGAAGCCACCTGTCTTCCCTTGCAAGGCATATGAAACAGCACGCTGAAAAAAAATGACTTGCGATTCGCATGCCTCGCTTTTTTGGTTCCAGACCCGCTTTAGCGCCCGGATCAACTTCTGGGAGGTGGAAGCTTTGACATGAATGTTTGTCCGAGACTTTGGTCGGAGCCCAAACAAAGGTTTTACTTTTACCCATGGGATTTGGAGTTGACACCTCTCTACACCACTCCAAACCACTACCAAGTATCCCCTAATTTGTGGTTTGGAATGGTTTGGATTGGTGGTTTCCCTGGTTCGTTTGGTGAATGGAAAGCCACCGATCGGAACACCACCAAACCTCCGATTCGGCTCCAACGCAATGTTTTTTTGGGGGCAGCTGATAGGTGGAACCTGAGAAGTGGGAATGGGTAGCCACCAGGATTTGGACCGCAGCTATAATCGTCCCTGTTTCCATTTACCAGCCCAGAGGGTCCAAGTACTTGATGAGGATGGCTTTTGGGGGGTCAAAAGGGGTCTAAGTACCGGGGTTCCCCCATGTTGGGGGTTGCCAACGATGTTTGACGACAGGCAAGTGGTTGATTTTTTTGCCGGCTCTCTCATTTCCAGGACCCAAGTAGCTTTCTTTTCCCGGACCCTATTCTTGACCCACAGCCAAGTGGCTAGGGTGTTCAGTGGCACCCTTTTTCCATTTTTTTTGGTGGCTGCCCCACTAAAAATGGTCTTTCCCAAAAAGGGTTCCCTTTTTTCCCCCCAGGCTTACTGAACAACTGAGGTGGTGAAAGGAACCTGAGAAGCGATCGACGAGCGACTCGCGCTCGCGATGGAGGAGGCGGTGCTGTTCACCAAGAGGCTGCTGGGCAAACCCGTGCATCGCCCCCCTGCCGAGCGCGCGCTGCAGGCGCGAGGAGTTGCGGGCCCTCCCCCAGCCGGCCGTCTGCTGAAATGAATACCCTCCCGCCCACTCACATAGCAGCTGCGGGAGGGTACCTGGAAGATCAATTTCCTCTTGAAGCCCTCTGTGAGGTGCCACTCCCCTGCAAATTCACATGGAACCCAAAAGGGGAGGTACCTTTCTCTACAAAAGGCTTCTTGGGTTCTATGTTAATCTGTGGAGCATATTTAGGTTTGGTGAGCGGAAGCCTGTTTTGGGTGCTACTAAAGGGAAACCACAAGGATATCAATCTTTTTTGGGGGTCCCCTTGAGACAAGCCTAGTTATGAGTTTCTGCGTATGGGCCAAGTTTGGGGTCTTTATGGGTCTTTCGCCAAGCGCTGGGTCTGTGGACTTTGGAAAAGAGTCGAATGAGAATTGCCCCTTTGAAGCCCTGTGTTTTAAGGCATAACACCTATGCAGGTGCGTTTTCCGAGCAACAGACGCACCCGTATACCAACCAAAAAGAGGGGGGTTGAGTTTAGGTGAGAAGCTTGCCGCCCAAATGTTGACCTGCGAAGCTTCGCGTGTCTCGTTTTGCGGCTTGGCAATGTTCAACGTCCCACAAGGTGAGCCTTTGATGTCAGTCCCTTCAGTAGGTTGCTTCCTTTTTCCGATGTTTTTTGGGGAAGGGTTCCGACTCCTTTAAAAGTCAACCAACCAAAAAAGGAAAGGATGCCTTCTCTTCCCCTGGCCACTGGGCATCTGGGGTGATATAGCAAACTTCTAGATATTCGGCACAACTTTCCTGTTTTAGTTTGAGGGTTGAACATGGAACCCGGCCAGGTTGTTAGTAAGGAATCTCTTTCTCCTCAAATGACCCCAGGTCTATGACATACTATGACCCGCAAGATTCCAGAACGTCCCTTGGTATTTTGGGACGGTTCTAAAATCTAAAAAGGGTCAGTTGGAGAACAATGTTGGGCAATCAGCTCCGGCATAGCAAGTTTCTTAGTGTCCCGCAGGGCACGCCTGCCTTACTTGCAGGCCGATTTCTGCAGGCACCCTCGATCTACCGGCTTCGGCATGCAGTTACTGGGGGGCCATGCGTCACCTTCAGACGGCGCAGGACGTGTTTTTCCAGAAGCACCTGCCGGAACCAGAGGATCCCCCGCTACGCGCGGGGCCCAAGGCGGCGGTTGTACGCCAGGCGTCGGCGGCCCTTCTCACTCCCTGCTCATGCCTGGGACCTCCCAAAGTGGCGATCGTTTCAATTCGGACAACCCGTCAATGGACCGCCCTTTGACGGGGAACTCCAAAGCGCCTGGCAATCCGGTTACGTGAGTCTGCAAGGCTTCCAGGATGGCTTAGGATTGCAGCAACCCCCCCCCCCCCACTTTCTGAGTTCATGGACTTGGTACTTTTTTGGAAGACAAGTTTATACATTGTAGTTGTAAATTCCAGGCTTGGTTACATCTTTTTTGGGCCATTCACCGGGGAAGAGAGCCCTGTATTTAGTCACGTTTTTTAGAATTAAACCACTTTAGTGGTAAGTCTAAAAACTTTGGTTACCCTTTTGTTGGCCACCCACTCGATCGGAAGAGAGCCCGGGGTCCCTGAGCCCTCACCTGAGGGCCTCCTTTGGACCAAAAAACCGAGGCTTCAGCCTGCTGGACGACCTGCGGACCTTCCGGAAGCAGAACAAGCTCAAGCGACTCGGCCCCGTTTCGACCGTTTCGGCCGTTTCGGCCTTGGAGGCCTCGGCGTTGACACTGAGGCCGGTCGTTTGGCCATGGAGTCAAGTGAACAGATGATTCGACACTCGTGATTTGGACTATTAAACGGGAACCAACTAGCTATGTTTGCTTGTGTGTGTGTGTTTTTTGGTCAGTTACCCTGCTATTGGACATGAATTTTGAGAGGGAACCACCTATCTGGTGGGTGGACATGAATCCACACCTAAATGATGTCGACCAAAGGTTCCCTAATGGAACTTTTGTCTGTTTGGTGATAGTATGAGTGTCTCTGTGTGTGTGTGTGCTTGCATTTGTGTTTGCGGTTTTCTTTGGGATTTGTTTTGCATTTGTGTCTGTGTCACTGTGTTTTTGTTCGGGTTTGTGTTTGCAATTCCACCCGGCATCTTGTCCAGGTAGGTGCATTGTGGGCTAACAGGGTTTTCCTACATGGGTCTGTCTTTTTTTCGAGGGTACCCCTTTGTTGTGGGATTAAGGGAAACCAAGAGGAAAACCTGTTTGTTGTGAGTACCCTAAAAAAACACCCCTGCAGTTCCCCTTGGGATGATGCTAATATCGAGTGTTGGGCCAATATTCCAGTGAGTGTCCTTTTTGTGGAATGAGATGCCCCCATGAGGTTTCTGCTGTTCGGTCTGTTGACATCCCTAGGGCGGATGCCCTATTGCACGTAGCTCACTCCCTGAGTTCCATTTCGGACTTTAGGCACTTTTTGGGGTTTGGACAAATTTAGTGGTAAATACAACAAGTGTTTGCACTTGTTGGACTATCTCAGGAAGTGGAGTTTAACCATGGGTGTTTGAATCACGGCTTCAGCCGAACAGTTGTTTGGGGGTTGGGTGATGTTGGTGGTAAACCACAAGTCAACTGGAGGGCTTCCTGATTCCCTTGCAATATTCAGGGCATCCGATATCCTATGTGATGAAATGAAGACACTATTCCATGACGTGTGCGGCCTCACCCATGACGATGGCAATGTTCCAAGCCGCCTTGAATTCTTGGTTGGCGACTCCGGAAGTGTGATTCATTCATGTACCGCCCGAGTGGCGGGGTGCCGATCTGACGAAAGCTCGAAACGGACGGTGCGGGCATTCCGGTCATCAATGGGGCACCCTAAGAGTCCAAACATGTCAGGCAATTACTTGGACCCCGAGAGACCGCTTACCCATCGGGTACCAAGGCACCCCCTGTATCTACCGTGACCCATTTTAAGCCCTGAAAAGCCATGGGCTACTCCCCAGAAGTTGAGTGGCACCAATGCTGTTTCCGCAAACAAACAAAATCTCCATGTCGATTCCACCAGGGTCGCTACTCCCCAGTTCTTTGGTGGCACCAAAAACGATTTTCCCCCTTTCTCTTCGGCAGAAACGGAATAGCCCCCCCGCCATCCGGTCCCTTAGCCTTCTAGCTGTTTAGCCTTTGGTAGGGATTTCCGAGTTTCACCCACATTTAGTTTTTGTCTGCCAAAGACTAAAAAGGTAAAATTCCTTTCTTAAGGTAAAGTTTTAGTCTACCATCGTGCCATCGGGTTTCTTTTTAGTCTAAAGGTTAAACTTTTAGTCCACCATCCGTTTTTTTTAGTCTAAAGGTTAAAATTTTAGCAGGTCTGAAAACGGGCAGCCCAGGGTGAGTGACATTCCAATGGCTCAGCCGGCGAGGCGTGCCTCGTTGACGACCATCGCCTCGTTGCTGGCGGATGCTGCGGCCCAAGACTTGGGAGGCGACCCGAGCCATAGCATAGCCCACGTGTTCAAAACCTGACGTCCCAAATAGAAAGGGGCCTGCCTAGACTCTCCTTCTGACCCTTTAAAAATGGGTCCATGACCCCAGTATTTTGGGCAATGACCCCATTTTGAGGGGTCATGGAGACTCCAGGTGTCCTTTTTTGAGGGTGCCCCTTTTGATTATGTGGGTTTTTCAAGGACAACCAAGAGGAAAGCTGCATGTTTGTTTGTTTTGGGGGGCCTTAAACAAAGAGACTGGCACAAATAGGTGCGACAAGAAGCCCCCTTTTCATTCTTTGCATGGCTTGGGGTACCCGGGTACACCATCTTCATACCAGGTTGATTTCTGGAAAGTTTGCCCATCCTTGACCCTCTAAGGCACCATTTGAGGGTCACCTTAAATCATCGGCTGTGGCTTCCTTTGCAAGTTAGCTCATCAGTTGTTTGGGCGTGGCTTTGGACGACGAAATGCAATCAATCCCAGTGCAAAGGCTTAGGTTACCCTTCTGCAGACCTTCAACATCGCTCAACCCTATTGTGTGGTCTTTTTGGGGAATCGGACGGTTGGAACTGCACGCATCTTGGATTCTGGAGCATCAAAGTCAGAAGCTCGAGCTCGTTCCCTTGAAGCGGGGGTTGGCTTTGAACATTGGGGGAATCAGGCCAGCTTCATGAGCGCAAGCTGTGTGTCTCATGATTGGCTTTGGACAGGGGCTCTTTGCGACACTATGACGAAGATCCTCTAAAGGACATCTTGCCAATCTCAGTTTCACAAATGTCGCTGCTTGTCAATATGCCAGACTCAACTCACCTTGCAGTTTTGGCTTTTGGCGGGTTTCCTTCACTAGGTCCCCGAGTAGTGCCCTTTTACCCTTTTTCGGGGGAGGGTTCCCTATACGAAAACAGAGTACACAACAAATCAGGTACCCTTCTTCTAACCTCTCTACTGGAGGACCTAGTTCAGGTTCCCTTTCGACCTTTGCAAAAATCGGTCTGCCTCGGGTTGGTCGAATCAGTCCTCTTCGGAGTTCTCCGGCCAAGGAGCACGTTAAAGCTGCGCGGGACATTTTTGCGCGGGACTCGGCCCGCGAACGAAAACGGCCACGTTCCAAATGGCTGTCCGCCTGTTGGACCCTTGAAGGACCCCCTCCTTGCGGGAAGGCCAAGTCTAAAAGTCTGGACCCTTTTTGGGGGGGGGGCACCGCACCTTCAAGTGGCATGTTTGCTTGTTTGCTTGTTTGTTTGTTTGTTTGTCGTTTTTTTTTTTTTTTTTTTTTTTTTTTTTTTTTTTTTTTTTTTTTTTTTTTTTTTTTTTTTTTCCGGAGGGGGCTTCTCTTTGAATCATGCAACACACACACGGCTGGCTTGGAGTTGTACGATTAAAAGACGGAAAGTAGATGGTTTGTCCCTTTACCAGTGGCCGATCCAAGGTCTGAGGAACCATATAGGTTGTCTTTCTCAAAATGGGTCTCCGTCTTTTTCTGCAAATACCCTGTTTGGGGTTGGTTTTTGAAGGACAGCCAGCAGGAATCCAGCATTTGGGTCCCCCCAAAACAGATGAGGCCCCCGAACTTTGAGAAACACCCATGGCCTTTGTCTCTGATTGGCTTTCTTTGCTGGGAGTCTGTGCTTGCATTGGTTTGTATACGTCTGCTTGCAAATTACACCGTGGCTTGGGAGGGAAGTTTTGCGACGTCACCCTTCTTTCTTAGAGAAACCTCTTGTTTCGGGTTGGTGAGTTCTATTCATCGAAGGCAAGTCAGGCTTCATTGGTTGGCGAGCTTGGTTTCCTCCAAGCTTCGTTCTCACTTGAGTTCCTGCACTTGATTCTTTCGGGGTTGGACCATTCTAGTGCCCAGCTCCCCATGTATTTAGGGCCCTCAAACAGCCAGGTCGGGTCTTCCATTGAAAGCCGAAGCCAGCCTCTGCGTGGTAAATTATCCAGCTTGGATTTTTTGTTGGGCCATCCACTCGGGTGAGGCTTGGGCTTGGAGGCATGTGTGGCTTCTGGCGGGTTCGCCCGCTGGTTCGCCCCCCCCAGTCTAAGACGATCCCAGGTGTGTTGGCGCAAGCCAACAGGACGGATTGGAACCCAACTTTGGTTGGAGGCCACCCCGCAAACTGACCATGCAAGCCATGGGGAAGCCGGCAAGCCGCTGCAAAAGGGACCAACTTGCGCCGAAGGTAAGGATGAAGGACTACCTTTCAACAGCCCAGATTGGTTGAGTTTCAAGAGGACCCTCTCAAAGAGAACGCAGAGCATTGGAGCTCCGCTTTCCCATTGAGCCAGATTAGCCAGCATCAGCTGCCCATTTTCCTAAAGCAAAAGGGGGTTTTCACCGGGGGCGCTTGGACCAGACGAGTGCGCCCTGGAAGCATCAAACTGGTGTGATTTGCGGTGTCCTTCGTGGTTCTAAGCGCCCCACTCAAGTGCTGAGTTTGACCATCCACCCAGACGCTCCAATTCGATTGACTTTGGGCCTTATGGCCAGGTTTTGAGACCCCAAGACCCCTTCTGGGGTGTCCAATGGAGGGTCTGGGTCTTCCATTGGAAGCCCCAGGAGCGTCTGGGCAGTGGGTTTCCCGGACAAAGCCACGTGTTCTATTCGCAAACAGAATGAGATTCTATACATTTCTACTTCTTGTCGTGACTTTGGCCCCCCGCTTGTCCTGGTTTTGGCCGCCCCCCTTATTGCATTTTTGTTTTGTTTTTTGTCTGTCGTGGTTTTGTTTTGTAATTCTTGTCGTGGTTACGGACCCCTTCCTCCTTCTGGGTTTTCCAAATTCAATCCAAGCCCATGAATCGGTCAGCCATCGCACCGAGATCTCTATGGACATCGATGGGGACGGCACGCTGTCTCCTGGCTGAAGTTTGAAGCGCCCAGTCAGTCCTTTCATTTGGAGGGGTGTCTCACTCCCTGAGTTCATGGACTGTTCAACTTTTTGGAAAGACCACTTTAGTCTTGGGGGCTCTCAGCCATCCGGTTCCTTAGCTTTTTCGACTTTTCGTGTTTAGTGGGGGGTTTCCATTTGACCCACTAAAAGTTAAACTTTTAGCCGGGGATCTGAGGGCAGCCCAGTAGTGGAAAGGAGGAAGTTCAGACTTTTTGTTGGCCAGTCGAGTAGGGAAGTGAGGAAGGGTTGGTTCGGCATGGAACCTCCTTGAGTGAAACCTCCTGTTGGATTTGTAACGAAAGGTTGGTTAAAAACCCCAGAGCCGCTGTGAAATGTTTTTCTTGGAGAAACTCTTCCAGACACAGAGAGTTCCCGGCTTTTTTTTTCCCCGTTGAGCTCTGGAGGTGTGGGCTCTCTTCCGGGCCAACTGAAGGTTAGAAAGGTTTCTATGGCCGGGGTGATATGTTTATTGAGAACCCTATTCTACCTCCACCACCACTTTCCGCCAAGCGAAACGGTATGCGTATGGGTTTTATTCAATGGAGACATAAATCCGCCCCCTGATGTGTGCATTTGTTTCCCAGGGAACTGGAAACCCTATCACACAGTCAGCATGAGCTGCAGTTGAACCTTTTCGGGACCCTATTTGAAGGCCTTTCTTGGGGGACCCCCCAAAACGGGTTTCCTTTTGGTTTCCCTTTAAACCCCCCCAAACAAAGGGGTCCCGGTTGCCCCCCAACGAAAGACGAGCTGCCCATGTCGCTTCTGATTTGGTGGCGCGACACGGTCTGCCTTAGGTGTGTGGCGGAGATGGAAAAGAGGCTGCGCAAGATGAAGGAGGAAGGGAAGATGGACAAGGCCGGAAGGGTGAAGGGTGCCACAGGTTTGTCACTGAAGACTTGGGGTTGGGGTTTGGTGATGGATCCCTCGGTGATGTTGACCCAAAATCAATAAACCCCTGTATATTGATATGGGTTTTTTTTCTGGTTTTAGTGGGATTCATCACTTGCCGGGGAACACCCCCCATAGAAATAAGCAGTGGTTTATTATGACGGGGTCAACATTAGGGGGTTGGTTCTATGAAGACACATCATGTGCATGGAGCATGTTTGGGCCACATTTGCCGCCACCTGCCAATCTGCTGGGTCTCCTCAAGTGAACAGCTGGGGGGGTTCTTGATTTTCTTTTGGGGGTGGCTCCCCTCACACCACCATTTCTTGGTGCATTTGGCTTGGATGTTGGGACTTCAACTTTTTGCCAGCTAGTGGGTTTTCCATTATTGTGTGGACTCAGATCTACCGGAGGCCATTGACCCCAAGAGTGAAGAGCGAATCCCACACTGAGGTTCCGATTGAGGTTCGGGGAAGGGTGGCTGCCACAAGGGCTTGCGTTCTGCGTGTTCTTTGAGTGATCCAGATGCACCCTTCTCTATTGGAAGGGCATTGGCAGGGCGCGAACCCTTATATTGTTTCCAGCAGGCATCTTCAAGGGGTGTGCGTTTGGCCCCCTGTGGGTTTTGTTGGAGAAGCAAACCGAGCCCTTCTCCATGTTGGGTACAACGTCACTAGCCCTTCTCCATGTTGGAGAAGCCCCCCACAAATCAGCCGAGAATGCCCCGGATTCGGATGGAGGACATGAGGAGAAAAGACGTGGAACGCATCTCGGCTTCGAATGCCTTGGTCACGTGGTCACGGGGATGCGTTCTTTGGTGAGTTTTCTGGGGGTTGATCCCCCGTTTGTGTTAGGATGTTCTTTGGATGTTTCCCCCATGCCGCTAATGTTGTGACATGCCCAGCAAAAAGTGATCGACCGCGGGGTAATTCCAGTGAGATGCCATGTGTCACGTGAGAACATAACACCTTTCCTGGCGAATCAGATACCAAAGGCTTGGGGAGTTGTGCCGCATTGCCCTGGTTTGGCGGTTTTCTGAGCAGACGAATCATGCAGTTCCCGATAGTTTTTGCTGTCATTGTTGTTTTTCTCGGAGGCAAGTTGGACCAACCCAATTCACCAAGACCAAAGGGGCACTCACGCAGAACACCAGGAGGCCCGTTTGCCTTTTTTAATCCTTGGACCACGTCGGATGGATGATTATTGGAGGTCCGATTTCCTGTGGAACAGATCCTGGCCATAGCTGTCCTTTTTGTTTTCTTTTGGCAGAGCAAATGATGGCGATTCCTGGTTGATGTTTGGTTGTATCTCCTAATCTACGGGAAATCCATGGATGTTCAACCAAAAGGACTCCGATTGAAGCCAAAGGTCATGTCATGTTTCAGACTGGAGACTGGAGATCACACTCCCCACATGGGTCCGTCGTTTCTTTTTTTGCTTTCCGGGGGCCCTGAAAGCCACAAAACCCGGGTACCCGCAAAAAAAAACGAAAAAACCGACACACACACACAGAGGCACAGATTCCCGAGGAGTTGGCCGTCAGTTCCGAGGTGTTTTTCGAGACTTCGACAGTGCGAGTGGCTCCTTAAAGGACCGGAGACACGAGTCGGCACTCGGAAGGGCATAGGTGTCCTTTTTGGTTGATTTGGTTGAAAAATCGAGGGCCCTGGTTTACCTGGTGGTTCAATCAACTACCAGGACCATCTATTTTCCCCAAAAGGACGCCTATGTGGAAGGTGGGCACGGAGTGATTTTTTTTCACTGCATCCCCTGTGTGAATGTGTGTGATTGTTGAGGATCTCCCTTTTGCAGGTTGGTTAAAAGGGGAAGCGGCATCCCATTCTCAAGAAGAGATAGGATCGAGTTCAAATCCCCAAACCACCAATCCAAGCCGATTATCCGCCATTTGGCTGCCAAATTCAGCTCCGTTTGGTCCTGCAAGGGGGGAAAGAAGGTGATGCTTACAGTATCTCCTGAATTACTTCGGAAGTTGCAATTTTTGACAACTCTTTGGCTCCAAAAGGAGGATGCTCTTAAAGTGGGAGCCTACTTTTTTCAGCTTCCTCATGGCCTCATGGGAGCAACCAGGGATTACCTGCTTCCCAGTGGCGCCCTTCTTTCCTTCTTTGCGGGAAAGGTTCCGATTCCTTTAAAGTCAACCCACCCAGAACAATCGGATGCCGGTTTTTTCCCATGGAAATCCACTGGGCATTTGAGCCCGGATTGCCTGCTTCCCATTGCTTCTTTTTTTTTCGCCAGGACTTCACTTACACGGAGTTTCTCGCTGCCACATTCGACAGGCGCCTCGTATCTGGCCCGGTGCTTCGAATTTATTTCTACGCTTTAGACGGCCACCGGTCGCCCCTTTCTTCCCAAGGCGGTCATTCTGGGTAACATTTGGCAGCCCCAAGCTTTAAAGGCGCTTTGGAAACGGCTCTTTGGACCTGAACTGTTTGGTTGAAACAGGTCGGATTTTCCCTTGGGCCCACCAAAAGATAAAACTGTGTGCAGAGGGTTAACAGCAACCAAGTAAGATGGGCACTCATACAGGTTCAAGCAAAGTTAGCCCCTTGCAACTTTGGTGAACAGCGCCCCAAAAGCCCGGGAAAGGTCTGCGCGTTGCTGGTTGGCTTCAAGGGAACGCCCCCCCCCTGACAAGTTCTGCACCGTCCTTGGCATGTTCACGTTTAGCACGTTGATAGCGTTTGTTGTTTGTTTGGTTGCGTTGAGTGGTCTGCAAAGAACAGCTTTTGGTTTCAAGCATGAGCGGGGAAGTTTGGCCAGACAGGACGCCCGAAACCGTTGTGAAGGATCCCAAACAAACATCCCATGATTAAATGTTACAAACCCAATCTTTATGACATAAAATGCGGTTTTGGGGTGTTGTCCCTATCTGTATTGTTGTCTCTTGATTGTTCGAGGTCCGGCCAGAAGTTCCACGATGGAGCGGTTTTCCACGAGGGAAACCGTCCCCTGTGGTTATCCATATGGGTGTGTCGTTTTTGTGGTACCCCTTTGTTGGTTTTGTTTTTAGGGAAACCAAGACGAACACCCCTATTTTAGGGAGTAACAAGACCAGCCACCCATATATTGATTATATACAAAGCAAGGGGAGCCACTGCGGCCTGACAAGAGGCCGTGGCACCTATATGACTAGTAGTGGCTCTGAATCAGTGGGTAGGGATTGTTCCAACGAACGCACACTTTATGCGTATCTTGGTGGTTTCCAGCCATCCTCTTAGCTTTTTGGCTTCTTAGGCTTTAGTGGTAGTTTCCATTAGACTTTTAGCAGGGATCTAAGGACAGCCCAGGTAAGAAATGCTGGTGCCAACATTCTTATCCGTGCCGCAAAGCCTCGGCCTGGCGGCCTGACCTGCTTTTTTGTTTGTTTTGTACGTGTGTGTGTGTGCGTGTGGTCGCAAGGACACTCGTTCGCTTGTTGCCGTCCATTTGGCCCAACATCGTTTTTGCCATGCATCGCCCAACCTCCTGTTAACACCCATGTTTTCATACAGGATTCCGAAAGATCACCCTTTGGTAGCTTTCAAGATGGGCCCGTGTTGAAGTGATACACACTTTGGGTGGGGTGACGTTTATAGGAAGTACATATTGGGCAAGCCCGTTAAGCCACACTTCATGTATCCCTTGTACTTGATGGTTCTCGATGGGTTTTTTGAATTAACCTTTGAGGCTTGTTTCCAACACAACACACATGGGGTGTGTCAAAAAAAAGAAAGGAAAACAACAAAAAGGGGGAAAGCGAGAAACATTGTGCCCTTAACGCAAACACCGCTCCTGGTATTTTCTTGAAACGCACCTAGTGTTGGTTTCCCCAAACCGGGGCGCTGTCCGTTTCTCGGGTTCTTCCGCTTTGGACTCGGCAGGAAGACCTGCTTGACGGAGGCGGTTTGTCGAGAGGCCTTCACCACCCTGGACAAGAACGGGGTGCGGTGCCCCGAGTCATGCGGAGGTGTCCTGTTGTGCCGATGGTTGCCAGGGGCCCCCCCCGTTGGGGGACCCCCCCACAAAAGGACGCCGAATAGAAACCAGAGGATTTCTCGGTCTTGGTGCCCGGTTTTGGTGGTTTCAACAGAGGGGTTGTGTTCTTGAGGGAACCTTTCTTGGGGTGTTAAAACGGAAAACTTCATTTTGTTTGGGGGTGGGGAGGGTTAGAGGAAGGGGACTATCCATTTGAGGGTGAAATATAGAGACAAACCGCAGAATTCAAAACGTGTGTGTGTGTGTGTGCACATGTGTGTGTGTGTGTGTTGGGCTAAAGGGAAGAATCATTTTGCGGGTCCCGGTTCGCCATTTTTTTTGATGCACACCTGGGCCCTCAAACTACGGCGCCGTACCCCAAAGCGCAAATATGTCCTGTGGCGTTTGGTCATTTCGCATTTGTTCAGGTCGCGTCGTTGTTTCTGGTGTCTCCTCCAAAACGATCCAAAACGAGTTTATTTGTTTCAGGGATGTCGGGATGAATATGAAGCATAACCTGAGAAAACACCCAATCTTTGAATCCCAATCCGAGAGAAACACAAAGTCAGTGTAGCCCAATCCTGTAAACCACAACATGTTTGTACCCCAATGGCTTTCAATTGTGTGACTCCGTTGTCAACTAGCTGGCCTTTGCAAGGGAGCCGTTACAGAGCCGGGGTATCCCAATTTTCTTTCTTCTTCGGGAACTAAGGAGCTACCACTCACCCCCTGACTTCCTGAACTTCACTTTGTTGGAAGACCACATTAGTGGCAAATGGACAGTTCATACTTTGTTTGGAAGAAGAGAGACCAGGAGTTCTGCAAGGAGGTGGTTTGGGTTACCTTCAAAGTGGTGATCGCTCGTGACTTGTTGCAAGGTGGCCAACCCCCCCCCCCCGGCCGTACCTGGCCATCCCCTCTCGTCCAGGTCTGGGATTTGACCAGACATGCAAACCTTCCGAACGACAACAACAACCCGAGACATGTCCCCGGCTTCCTTTTTTGCTTTGCACTCTCAACCAAAGACGGTTACCTGTCTTGTTGGTTCTTGCGCCTTGAACCCAAGACAGGGACCCATTGTGCGCGACCGTTTACCACGGTGGGTGTTTTCCTCCGAAGAAAACATCGGCCACCTCCCACCCACCCAGACCCTCCATCCACCCCCACGTGCCCAAAACCGCCCAAAACTCCCAAACCCGAAACCCTAAAACCCCCAAGTCCCAAGCCCTAAAACCTCGGTTGTTGTTGGGACACATTTTACATTTTTGCTCATTGTGGTTTAGTGGTTGAAATCCAAGTCCACTGAACTGCTATGTTTTTGATAATTTTTGCTCCCCAGACCCAACGTCAACCAAGATTTGTTGTCGTTTCACAAGCAGCCCCAGCTGATGAATAGGGAGGTGTTCCCCTCCACCAGTGGTTTGATTCGCCACGAAACCCAGCGAGAAGCACCCAATGCCTAGGAATCCTGGGGAATCCCTCGCACGCGGGGAGAGCGGTTCGCGCTTCAGGATGGGACCGTGGACCTGGGAGAGCTGCACTCGGGGCGCCTGCGCGGACGCCCGGACATCGGCGGAGAAGAGGTTCGCCGCTGCGCTGAAAACAAAGAGAAAGCAGGGAGCCTTTCTGAAGAGATTGGTTTTTGAGCATATGTTTGTTTTGTTTTGTTCAATTAAGTTGGTTTTGTTTTGACAGGACGGGTGTGTCTTGTTTCTTGGAGATGGTACCACCTGTTGTGGTGGTTATAAAGGGACACCGAAAGGGAAACCACAACTTTAGGGGGGGCCCGCAAAAGAGACATACCCAGAGGTTGTTCGAGAAGCATGCCGTATCTGTGTCCATGGTTGATTCGGGGGTTGATGCTTTGTGCCACCAGTAGCCCACAGATAATTTTGACGCCCGGAGACTTGCAGGTGATGTGTTTTGTTTCAGACACGTTTTTTTGGAATATAGTCATGCGGGTCGACATTTTCTGTCGGCAAACTATGCCCACTGTGTAGAGGGAATGTGTTGTTGGATGCAAGTCCTCTTTTTGTTAAGGCCATGGCAATCAATGAGAAAAGTCTTGAAACCATGCTTTTTGGGGGTCCCCTAAAATGTACATTTTAGGGCTCTGTGTCAGGGAATACCTCAAACAGGAGGCAGGTGCTGAACCAGAGGAAAGACTTTCCAACTGAAGGGAGTGCTTTTAGCATCGCGGGTTTGGAGGCCGCGTGAGGTCGCTGGGGTGACTCTCATTGCCTTTGGTGAGTGCGGTTCGACAAGAGGTCTTCAGTCAAGACTTCTTCAAATCTGTGAGTTCCTCTTCAAGGATCTCAGAGAGGAGGACATTCACTGCATTTTCCAACTGCGCATGCACTTCCTTGCACAAAAGCCAGGTCCATTTTTGGACACTTCTCCAGCTGCAAGAAGTGCACATTGTGGAGCCTTCCGCCTATCTTTGTGAACGTTTTCTTGCAGAGAGCCCTCCAAACCAAAGGAGAAATGGACGAGCAATTCAACACATTTCTCAGGACCTCGCAGAAGGCAACCAGAGATGCTGGTGCAGCGAAGCTTCCAGCTGACCTTCTGTGGAGGAATTCCAGAGCAGGTCCGCAACGTCGAGGAGCTGATTGAGAGTGAAGACGCCTCAGTCATCGACATCTGCCTTGCCGTCCTGCAGGACATTTGGTTCTGTTCCAAGGACGGCCGCGGCCGAAAGGATTTTTGTTTTCAAGGGCCTCCGATCCAACTCCCTGTCCCAGTGACTCGGAAGGCCCAGGCCTTCAAGACCTTGAAGGGCTTGACCCGCGGGAGTTTTTGTTAGAAATGTTTCACTATGGCAAGGGCTTGAGGTGTCCCACAACTCGGTGCCAAGATCATTGGGGGGGAACTGGCAAACCAAAGAACAACCCTCTGTTTTTTGAGAAGGAAAACAAAGCAGCACTCCAACCCAACCCTTCGTTGGCCTTTTTGGTTTCATTGAATTTATCGTAAGGCCTACATCAAACCACAGGACCATCGTGGCAAGACCAAACTGGATCTTTGGACACTCAATGCTTGTGCCTTAGAATGTGAACCGGACCCCCAAATAGTTGGTGCGTTGACCTGAACCCTCCAACTACTCGGAAAAAAGGGACTTCGCCCCATCAATCATGTTGGGGTATCAATTCATTTTCCATTTGGTTTTTGTTGAGGGTCCAGGCACCCAAGCAAGGGCTACCCCTTCGAAAAATACAAATTCATTCATTCCGATGGCAAGACGTCACGCCCTGGGAACCGCTGGGAACCGCAGATTGATTGTCACAGGCTGGGCCACATTGACATGGCCGAACTCAAGGAAACCCTGGAGGCGATGAGCAGCCACCACTTTGGGGTGAGGGTGATGGGGGGGTCCGATGAGTCCCAGTCAGCACAAACGAGCGGAGCTGGTGGTTTTGTTCAGCCTATTGAGCATCTTGGGCCCTCAAAAAGCCTTGCTTGAGCGGTCCTCAGCCTTGTTTGAGGGGGTTCCGATGAGTCCCAGCCTCGCTGATTAAAGCACAAGAGACACGGGGCGTTTTGCTGGGGGCCAGGGTGGTCCTTCGCCGTTTGAGCATCTTGGGCCCTCAGCAAGGCCGCTTGTTGACGTCCACCCTGCCAATGGAGGTCCAAACCCCTGCAATGGAGGGGTCTTTCTGATTGGGGTAGCGCAAAATCCATTTCGAATTTGCTGACCAGTACTCATTTGGGAGTGAACGATTGTCTGGACCTGAAGAAACTTATTTTTGTTTGTGTCTATAAAAAAAAATCACAAGCAAAAACAACAACAAACAAAAAACAAAAACACTAGTGATTTGTGGGGAAAGCTTGCGCCGTGACTCCGAGCAGACAGGCAGTGAAGCAAAACGCCCGATGCAAACACAGTTTGGGTGTGTCTCAAAACTGGGGGGACCCTCCACGGATTGAGAAACATCAGAGGCTGGGCATTGGAATGTATAATATATATATATATTGTATCACAGAAACAGGCAACCTTGTATCACAACACGGAGACAACAAGAAAACTCTTGTTTGCCTGCGGCTTCCCTTCAACGGAGTTCCCACCAGGCTGCGTTTGTCCTTACAATTTGTGGGCAGGGTGTCATTGCACTTAGTGGAGCCAAGCTGAAACCAACTTGGAGATGTCCTGAGTCTTGAGAACGGAAAACCTGGCTGATTCGTTGTGAGGAGTAAATCAGCACCCTTTGTGAGTTGTCTTGATACAGTTTGCAACGAAGATCCTTTTAAAATACAAGTGGCACTGTGGCTCTCAATTTTCGTCCTTGCCAATGGCAAGGTCTTACAAGGGCCAATAAGGTGAAGGATCTTAGCCCTTGGGTCCGCTAACAAGGAGCCAGATGGTCCCTTCTAGAGGAATTCTTGTCTTCCACGCGAGGGGAGGCACCGGTTGGGGAGTTGGGTGTTGTGGGTGGCACCTCTCAGGACCTGGACGAGAACGGCGATTCCGTGTTGGACTTCCCCGAGTATATGGAGATGCTGCGGAGCATCGACTCCAAGGCGCGGTGGGCAGTCGGGCGGCTTTTTTGGGTTGGCCCACTGATTTCCGTTCCGCCCCGCGGGGGATTCCGCCCCCTTTTGCGCAGCTTGTTTGTGGGTGTTGGCGGTTCCGAGCCCTTTAAACTCGACCCAACAAATCGGATGCCGATTCGTTCGTTGTTTTGCCATGGAAATCCACTGGGCATTTTGGTTGGTGACAAAAGCCCCAAGACTGTCACAAGACAGTTTTCGTCTTTTCTTTTTTTAATGAGGTTGCTGTTTCACCGCAATCGCTCGCCTTGTAACTCAAGCGTTTTCGGGCGCCTGGGTGATGCAATGGGCCACTGGGGTAGGTGGCTCGTCATCTTTTCAGGGACCCTCAGCTGGTTTCCCTTGAACACCAAACGAAGCAAGGGGTTCCCGAAAGACACAGGGACCCAGCCTTGTGATAGGAATTAGAAACCCGTGTGGGCGTGTTTTTAAGTAGGACACCCACATCATGGGTTGTTGTTACCTTTTATGTAGCCTCGAAGCAAGACGACACTGGTACTGTGGATGGACGAAATCCTGCGCCACCTAAGAAACCCAGGAATGATTCGATTCTTTTGTAAATGCCAACCAACGATGGTTTCAAGTCGTTTCTTAGGTGGTGCAGGATTTTGTCTATCCACAGAATGAACCCGCAAGTTACTTTACTTGGCTTCTACTATCCACGCGAACGGCTGCCATAATTGGCGCTTCGGCAAGCACGGGTTGGACGCCTGTTTAGGATCGACCCTTCCCCCATTGTTCCACGAAAGTTTCCTTTTGGTGGCCCTTTGAATACCAAGCAAAAGGTGTCTGACATCCAGTTTGAGAGCCTCATGAAGCCCTAGTGAATGGGTATTATAAGCTTTGATTTGTATGGGACTCGCAAAGTGCCCGCCACAGAAACCAATAGCCCCTTTTTGATGGTACCATGCTTAAGGCAGCTTTGAAGGAAACCGAGCGCAAGCACTGTTTGGTTCCTAGAGTTGAATGGAGAAAGTTAGGTACTCTTCATCGGTGGAAACCATTGGAAACCAGTTGCATACCAGCAGCCCCAAACAACTGTTTTGGAAAAGGAAAGCCGGTCCGGGAGGGTGGGCGCTGGATAGAGTTTGAACGCGATTGCCGAACCTCACCAATCATCCAGAATGACTCCTGTCCTAATCGCAGTGAATTTGCGATGCTGGTTGCTGGTACCATACGATATGATACCATACGAACTCTTGTGCTGTGAAAGGACGCTTTGTTTGGTTTCCCTCACAACGCCAGCAGGGTCGATTTCCGCAAAGGCTTTTCCCACACCCGAATTGGGCTTCCTTGGTTTCCTTGCTTCACGCCATCTAAACGTTTTTTTGGTGTCCTCAAATTTGTGGTGCCTCGCTTTGAGAATTGTTTGAAAATGGGTCCATGACCCCATTATTTACGGTAATGACCAACCATTTTTTAAGGGTCAGAAGGAGTCTCGGTCCATCAATGACCCTAGTAATGACCAACCATTTCTTGAAGGGTCAGAAGGAGTCTCCAGGTGGTTTTGGCCCAGCCCCCAACTCCGAAGAGCGACGTTTCGCTTGCGAAGCTTCGGCCCAAAACGAGGGCGGCCCCTTGAGCAAAGCTGAGCTCGGCCGGGCGCGGCGGAGGTGGTGAAGACCCCGAAGGTCGTGGGAGAGACGCCGGACTTCGGCATTTGAGCGGCGCGGATCTTCGATCGTTGGAGTCGGTCAGGGGTCTTGTTGTTGTTGAGGGTTTTGAGGGTACCTGAACCCTAAGATTCCAACTTAAACATGGGGTTTACTCCCCCAAAAAAACAAAAGGAGAGAGGCAAACACAAGATATGCATGGGATCATATGCCATGTCAAAGGTAGTTTGAGGGTCCAGATAATTACCCTCTTTGGGGCGTTGAAGGAAAAGCTACGTATTTTTCGAGGAGGGGCCCTGCTATTTTCAGAATCTGCTGGGTTCTCAATACACAAGAGCCGCCGGGTTGGTCTGAGAGATTGATCAGATCCCCGTCTATGCTTTCCACTACCAAACCACCAATGTTGACCCCGCATATCCTGGGTGAAAAGTGGGGAATCACACCACTTTTGGAGGGGCCCCCACCTCCCAAAAAAAATACAGGGGTTGATTCATAGGGGAAACGGGGTATGCAACCACATAACCACCATGTGGGTACATACACCCTGATTTCTGGTGGTAGCTTCGGTTTGGGGGTAGTGGAACCTCTCTCAGACACCATGAGCCCTCCCCCTGTCGGCTCAGAGTTCCGAACTCGGGGCCCTTTTGGCGATAAGGCGCCGCTGGAGTTTGGAGTAGCCTTAGCCCATACCTTTCTCACCGTCTTTTTTGGGGAGGGTTCCGATTCCTTCTAAAATAGATTACAGAAAAAAAGGGTACCCTTATTCTAACCTCTCTACTGGACGACCTAGACTAATTGTTTGAGTTCACGGACTCACTACTTTTTGGGAAGGATGAGGCTTGGCACGCTTTTAGAGGATAGGTTTTAGAGAGACTAAGGCGCAATCACCCACCGGGCAGATGGAAGAAGCTTATCACCCCCGCTGCTGATCCGACTTGATCAATATAAGCGTGGCCCATGTGAGAGGACTTGGGGTGTCTTCTTGTTGATGGTACCCGTCTTGGCTTTCTGCGAAACAGGCAAAAAACAGAAGCCTCGGGTTCATGGGACCCCTAGTTTCAAGCCTTCAGCTGCGTGCTGGGCTTCTTTCTGTTTCTATTGGGAAGGTCACTTAAGCAAAGGGTTCAGACAGAAGGGGCCAATCCACCTCAAAGGAGTGGCCTTTGGGCTCAAAGTGGATCGGGCCGAAGGGACCGGTACTGCACATTGAAACGTTGAAAGGCCAGTATAGTGCTCCTGTTGGGGCTGTGTCATGCCGTTGCTTCCGGGTTTCATGATGTTCGGGATGCGGCTGTTCTTCACCTCTTGGAACACTCCATCAACAGCATGAAAGGCATCAAAAGTGCTGGGCAGACAGAATTGGAATTGTGACCCCTGACCAATAAATCGGCTTGAGGGCTTCACTGTTTCTCCTGCACTACCCCTTGTTTTCTCCGTCTTCGGTTTGCTTCTCTTCAGATAAATTCCAAGACGAGATGGTTTCAATGATTTCTCTGCCAAAGTCACTGCCCAAGGCAGAAGCAATCCTGCCAGGAATGCTGAATGCTCGGAGCCAGACAGCCGTCAAATTCGCGCGGCCGGAGTTGCCCGCGTGCTTGGCAGGTTTCCCCGCTCCGCCCAAAGCATGAAACCTTCTGCAGACTCAAGGAGCATTCGAAGCTGGCGGACCACTTTGACCTGGGACTTCTTTCTGGCTAGAATCCAAGAGCAAATCAAAAGGCACATTTGTCCCTCCAGATATGTTCCTGCGCACCAATCTTGGTGGTTACCAGCCATCCGGTTCCTTCGCTTTTTAGTGTTTCGTGGTTTCCATTTAAGCCACAAAAGCAAAGAGGACAGCCCAGTTTAGTCGAGTTCAAAGTTTCAAAGGCTGAAAAGCCACAGCCACCCACTTCCCTGTTGCCTTCTTGTGGAAGACTTCTATTTAAGTGGGTTCTAGACATGGGATTCCAACCCCAAAAAGAGTTCCGAATCATTCTCCACAGGGGTCACCGGTTGCAAGCCATGCAAGAAAATAGCAGTGGCCGGTTGTTTGGTCACCTTTTCTGGGGCTTGGTTCAAAGAAGCCACTTTGGCTCGTCTTCTTCCTCAAAGCATATACCATTCATCAAAAGGGACCCGCGTTTATTTCGATTTCAGGCCTGGAGGCTTTGAGCATTGCCAGTGACGCATTGCACGCAACTGCTGCATGGAGGGGCAGGTTAGTGGTTTTTTCTTCCGGGGACCACTTGCAAAGCTCTCACACAAGTTGTGTTTTTTAGTTGTTGGTTTGTTTTTCTACTGGTTTTTTTCATTTTTTTCTCAAAAAAGGTGTTTGCGTTTTTTTTGGCCCGGACGCTCCTGGCTTCGGCTTCCAATGGAAGCCCCAGACCCTCCATTGGACACCCCAGAAAAGTGTTCCGGTCTCAAAACCTGGCCCCAAAATCAATCGGAGGCTTCTTTGGGTGGGGCAAGCGAACCAATCGACCTGCTCTCTGCAGCTTTGGTTTTTGCTGGGTCCCTTCTGGGTTGGCAGCATCTGCCTGCCTCTGCACTTTTGCGGCTGCACGATTTTTTAAAAGCGTCCGCGTGGAGCGCAGATGTTGGGGAGAAACGGGTGGGGGGGGGGGGGTATTGCGGACTTCTCCAATATGGCATGGTACCGCCACTGAACATCCCAATCCCACTGAAATAGGCTAAAATGGGTGGTGCACCTATCCCAAAATGGTACCATTGGTTTTGACCCACACCCATATATCTTCCTCCCTGAGTTCATGGACTTCAAACTTTACGGCATGACCATTTTAGTGGCAAACAGAGAGTGCAGACTTTGGCCGGTCCACTCAGGAAGTGAGTTAGTATATATTTTAAGGTCCACTAAGTATGATATGGAATCTGACCATCCGTGTTTTGGTGTTTTCTGGGGTTGGGCAAGGCTAGATTACGTCCATTCAAGTTCCAGCTTACCTCCAAAACGCGATGCACATAAGGAATAGTTGCCTACATTGTCCAATATGCCGATATGTTTTACCTTGAGAATCTACAAGATTCTGATTCGCGAGTCAATGCATAGGGAAGGGTCGATTACATCCTTTAGGGGTTGCCTGTTTATACAATTCTCATGGAGCAAACTCGGAAGGGAATCACATCCAGCATATTCTTTGCACGTGTTTTTTCTTTCAGAACGACTGCATGGACACAGCTTGGACGAGACATGCTGCCCCATACCATAATCGATTGCTGGTGTTGATGTGCAGAACCAACAAACTTGTCGCTGTGAGTCGGAATCTGCGGTGTCCTCGCTGCGCGGTTCTCTTTTTCAGTGGCCCGGTGCCATGATGTCCTTCCTTTTGGCTTTTCGGCGGGTCTGCCCCTGTCGAAAACTGTGTCAAGATTTCTCGGCTATGAGCTAGGTGCTTGAGTAGTGCCCTTTGAACCTGGTTTGGGGGAGGGAATTCCCCTACGAAGATAGACTACAGAAAAAAAAGGTACCCTTATAAGCTAACCTCTCTACTGGAGGACCAAGAGGTGGTATTTGTTTGCTTGTTTTGGCTTTAACGTTTTGGAAAATCAAGGGGTTTTCCACTAAACCCCCAAAAAGTTCACTTTTTGCAGGGGGGTCTTGCCAGCAACCAAGTATGAGTCTACGAGTGCAACGGTCGCAAAGATATTTTTGCTCCATGGACACGGGGCCAGCGAATTTGGGTGCATGCCATTTTGACCTTCGCACACCCAGAGGGTGGGCGGAGGGTGCGTTTCGCCGCGCCGGACCCCTTTTTTGTGATTTTGGTTTTTCGCACGCAAAAAGGGCCGCGCCGGGAGTGAATGATGAAGGGTGTCGCGGGGGGGGGAGATTCGTGGGTAATTCTCCATTATACACACACAAGCACACACACACACACACACGAGTTGCTTTGCTTGGGGTCCACGAGCGAAATGGCATGATTAACCCTAAAGGGTGTCCTTTCCTAGGTCTCCCAGTAGTGCCCTTCTCACCCCTTTTTTGGTTGGGATGGTTCCCCCACGAAAATAGACTACAGCAAAAAATCGGGCGCCCATATTCTAACCTCTCTACCGGAGGATCTAGTTTCTCAACCAGGGCCACTGCCAACTGCCAACCCACCCCATTCCCCACCCTCAGAGCTCGAGGGTTTCTGTTCGGCAGTCTCACTTGCAGGTTCAGTCTGGAGACCTCCATTTCGGCAACAGAATCCCAAAACTGATGTTCAACTAGCCCCGCAGTTCCGCGGCGTGGAACTTTATTGGAATAGATGCATGGCCCCCCCCGGCTATGCATTTCAATAGGGCACCTCGCAATGCTTGGCAAACATCCATCCCCAGTTTAAGCCCAGTACCTTGTTTAGTGCCACCCTCAAATTCAAAGTCCCTTTTGGTTTGGTAGCATCTTCCCAGTACTGAGAAACTCTTCTAGGACCCCCAGTAGTGCCCTTTCTCACCCCTTTTTTGGTTCGGATGGTTCCGGGTGCCCTTCTAAGCTAACCTCTCTACTGGACCTAGTCGTTCAAGGGCCACTGGGCCGGGCGGCCCTCGCCACGTCGGAACCCCACGGCCAAGACGCGAGGGCCGGACGTTTGTGGCAAAGATGATGTTCTACAAGCGGGAGGCGGAAGATCAATGCTCGCGACTCGCGACCGGCGGGTCTCCTTGGCTTAAGACGTGATCAGTCAGAACGACTGTGGGTGAACAGCGTGGAGCAGTATGTATGCATATGCAAAGACATAATTATATATATATATATATATGAATATACACACGTATTGTTCCTGTTGCCCACCCACCGCAGAGCATGTTTCCCACTACATGGAATGCCGGGGTCGATTTGATCAAGATGCAGGTTGCTTGAGGTAGTACTCTCCCACCTACCTTTCATAAAAACTGAGTGCGGGGCTGTTGCTAGGCCGCCTTCCTCCCAAATGTTGAACCCTCGGGTTCATGTCGGGGCGGGCTGGGTGACCTCTTGGAGGTCACCTTACCGACTGGCGAACCTAAAGTTGAACTGGTGCGGCATGCCTCATGCATTGGATGGATTTGAGTGGGAAGGATACAGCAACTGGTTGACTCAGGGGCAGGCGGCCAGAGGGGATCCAAGACACTTTTTGTTTGTAGGAGTACCCTCCCGCCCACATAGCAACTGCTAGAGGGCACCTGGAAGATCATTTTCCGCTTCAAGGGACCCCCTGTCGGGTGCCAGGTAAGTGGGAGGGAGGGTAGCCCCCCGCTGACCATACTGAATCCATCTTAAGAATCCTGGAATTTGGTCAATACTCGCTAAAAAATAAACCCGCAAACCATAAACATGGAACAAATGCCATGGGCATAATATTCCTTGCCTTCGTCCGACAATCCCCCAAGGTTCATTCACCCCAGGTCAACGTTGAGCTACGTTTCTAGGGGGAAGCTCCATGTCCATTCCAGGGATCCGATTTGTTTCTAGAAAACCACCAAAAACCCTGAAAGAAATGGATCCGGATTTTGAAGAGAACGATAGCTGAAAAGAATGAGCAAGGAATCAACCCCTAGAATGTGGAGCTTCTTCTCCGCGGCCGCTGGAGCTTTCTTTTTTGGGTTTTGAACACATCACTCAGGCTGATTGGTGGGTTTCCTTTGCCCACTCAGGATCCTGGGCAAAAAATGCTTGGCAAGCCCATGAAGGAGAACAAAAACGATGAGGCTTTTCTTGGCCCCTCCACTGAACTGAGTTGTTTTCGGCATGGAACTCCTTTTTGCCCTCTTCCTCCTCTCTCTTCCTCCAGCCTCCAGCCTCCCGTTCGCGGAAGCGAACCAACAACACCGCCCCCAGCGCGCGCTGAACCGCGCGCTCGCTCGCGCGCGCTGAACCGCGCGCCAGGCCTGGCGCTTGACGCAGCGGGTGCAGGAGTACGCCCAGCGCGGCCAAAAGGAGGCGCCTCGGAGCCTCGAAGCCTCGAAGCCGGCGATGGGGCACCGAGGGAGGCGATGGTGGTATGGTGGCTTCATGGGGTATGGTGGTTTCATGAAGCCATGGTTGTTGTTGGGAAGCCTTGTGTCTTTTTTACACATTGTTGCTTATTCTGGAGTAGACTTAGGATACATTTTACATTTTGCCAGTGACTCAAAGAGAAGCAACCAATATAATATACATTTTGTAATCGTGCCTAAATCCAATCATGTATTGTGGTTGAGTGGTTGAGATGTCCAACTCCACTTATAACTGTTAAAATTTGATTGAGTTGTTTGCTCCCCTAAATCAAGGTCAACCAAGAAGCCTCAACCGCGCCTTTCTTGTTTTTTCTCCCGCGGCGATGTATTGTTTAGTGGTTGAACATGTTTCCCAACAACAGTTTAAACCATGGTTGTTGTTACATGTTTGCTTGTTGTTGGCTGAGTGGTTGAACTCCAACTCCACTTGTAACTGCTAAAAATTAGTTGTTTTTTTGCTCCCCTAAACCAACGTCAAGAAGCCTCGAAGCCTCAGCCGCGCCTTTTGTTCACACGATGGGATACCCAAGGCGATGAATGGGTATGCCTGGAGTCTTCTGACCCTTTCAAAAATGGTTGGTCATTTCCCAAAATAACTAGGTACATGACCCATTTCTTTATTTTGGGTAATGACCAACCATTTGTAAAGGGTCAGAAGGAGACTCTAGGTGGTGGTTTGAAGGGGCTGGGCGA